GAGCGCAGATAAGAAAAGTATTGACAAGCTGTGATAAGACGATAAAATATGCTTCGGCGCTGACGCATAGCGCTTAAGGAGTAATTATATGAATGAAGCAGCTGCGTTTTGCGGTATGACGTAAATAAGGGAGAAAAGAAAGAAGGTGAAGCATAACATACGCAAGCAAGCGCTAAAGAACCAAAAGCATTGCCAAAAAATTTAAAATATTTATTGCGAAAATTATAAGTAATTGGAAAATTCCGAGAAAACCAGCATTATTGTCAGAATGACTTTTAAGAAGTCCATTTCTGTATGCCAAATAGCAATTTGATCGTTTTGATTAAAAGGTTTTTGGTGCTTCTACTTTTTTATTTTCGTGTGTTTTTATCTCATTTACCATTCATTTGTTTTCAATCGCAAGCAATTTTTGGTATAAGAGAGTGTTCCCATTATAGTAATTCGGTAGCGAAACATTTGAACAACTGGTTACACATTTGACTCCTAAAGTCCGATATTAAAAATTCTTTTAAAATTTTGTACTCATTGCGTAAATACATACTCATACAAGAATTACCAATGCTGATGGCAAAAGTTGTGTGCTACTCTCTTCAAGCTAGCGAAGAGTGCAGTATTCGTAATCTTTTAATTGTTTACATGTGTACATGTGTGCGTGCCAGCTGTGCTTCTGAAATGGTATAGCCTAGCCTTAGGGTCGCTTAATAAATGGTCTTCATGAGTATATAAAAGCTTCTACTTATGCATTACTTCTCAATCCTACAGTTGATTTATAAACGACCGCACGCGCATAGAAGACGGTCGGGTCGCATTTGAGCATATAATTCATAATTGGAGTAGTATACCAAGAGTGTAAGTGAGAAGTGATATAAAGCTGCTAATGCAAATTAGAAAAAAAAACACATTTTTGTTTACATTTGTGCTGACGAATTCAGCCCAACTATTCGCACAGATCAAAGCGGGGAAGTAAAGCAGCATTTGTGTAAAAAATTGTATTATGGAATGTAAACTGAAATAATTCTAAAGTTTTGTGAATAACGGCCGTGTAGTGTGATTTGTAATTTTATTTTTTTTCCTGAAATATTGTCGAAATAAATGTGGTAAGTGCGAAAAATTTTGGATTTGATAGATGGGTTTAGAAAAATATTTTGAACAAGATATCAAAAAATTTAGATGGAAACTAATTTTAGTTAAAAGCACTAAGTGAAAATAACGTTCAATAAAAGAAAAGAATTACTTCAGAAAAAAAATTTTTTAAAAAAAATTTTATATAAATTTTAAATAAATAGCAAGAGAACATCTTTCAAGTTAAATATTTTGGTCCGTTTACGAGTTCTAAAAAAATATTTCAGCTTGTCACGAGTCACCAAACGGTTACAATTGATATAGTAGACATATTTTATTATATTATATTATATTTACGTACGAAATATTGAAATTATAAAATTAAAAATTATAAAAAATTATGTTAAACAAAATTTTTAATCAACAAAAATAATGTTTAGAATTTTGTGAACAAGTTTTACTAAAATAGTGAAAAAAGTTTCAGGAGAATATAATAATTTTTTTCCACTTTTTGTTAAGGGATTTGTAATAAAATTTGAGTTCAGTGTGCTAATTGTTTAAAAACGCCCTACGCCTTTTTCTATAATTTTTGTGCTTTCTGTAAAGGTTAAGTCAACATTGAAATGTTTTAATATATTTTCAAATCTATGTGTGTAAAATAATTTTTTAGATATTTTTTGGAAATAAAAAAAAGTCTACGATTCAGATATTTTGAGATTTATGTGCATAAAAAATGTATTTTGTATTTTTTTTTTTTTTGTAGAAATAAAAAATTGCTGCCATTGATTTTATTCTTTAATTTTATACCACGCTCTTACGGTGCTCCTTATTACGTTTAAGTGAATAAAATAAATTGGAAAGTACAAACAGTATTTCCTAAAAACAACAAGTTAGAGAAACTTAAGATAATTTAACAGAAATTCTAAAATACATATATTTATCGTAGTGATTAAAAGAAACGGAATTTCAGAAGTGCCATCTGCTGTTGTGATCACACAAAATGCTCGCGAGATATCATTAGCGTATGGGAGAATAGTGAAATTCGTTTTCGAATAAGTACCTTCCTGAGTTGCAATATAAATTCTCATTAGCCTAGAAAAAGTGAAGAATTGTCATCCAGTTACAAGTTGGAAAGAGCTTTAGCCGCCATCAATTATTATATTATTATAATAATATACTAAATTACAACTTTTAAATAAAACAAGTTTCTAGTTTTAGTACGAAAACAATTCAAATTTTCTTCATAATAAAATTTCGGCAATAGCTGTCCATTTGTGTTGAAAAATCTTCCTTTGGCTTTGGCTAAAATGTAGTTGAGTTGAGTAGAAGTACAAATATATAATAAATAAAGCAACCAGCGCGTTTCAGCCCACACTACGCCAAAATTTCGTGCAGGCAATTGTAAAGTAAAAGTACCGTTACAAAGTCGAAATATGCAATTCAAACTTTTGCCATACGCAACAGCATATCTAGCGGCTGTTGCGGCTAAATTAAAAAGTTAACCAAACAAATCTACTGACAAGATGAGCAAAATCCGCGCACTTGTTGTGGTTAGTTACAGTGTGGATTTCAAGCAACCACGGCAAAATAGCGGCAGTTTTCACAAAATATCACATAAAGTAAATGTAGTTTAAAAGGAAAAATTAAGAAGAAATGAAAGGAAATAAGTAATAAACAACGCGTGCGATTTTAAGATTCTGATATAGACAAATAATTTTGTATATATTTATATGTATGTACATAAATATATATATATACAATTTATGTATCTGCGCACATCATTACTTATAAATTCTTGCCTTGGTAACACTCGTAAAAATGTACAATTTGCAAATCTACAAGGCCGTGTTACTTCTTCAACTTTAAGTTATAGGCCGGAAAGTATTCGTATAGCTTTTTGTGTAAGTTTAATGAAATTCTGCAACTAACTAACCAAGCAACCCCAAGAAGTAAGTTACCGGCGCAACCATAAACCCAGTACGAAGTGAGAATTGCTGAAGCATACTAACTTGCAAATACATTTACTGTTGTAGCTAGCATTCAAAGCCATGTGCTGTTTTGTTTGTTTTCTGTTTTTTTTTACATTTTTGTCATTTATATCTTGTTGCTGTTTTTATAATTGTTGTTGCCATGTATATAGCGGTCATTATATATGCGGTTCTTGCGGAAGTACAATTGTTCAGCTGGCACCATCATTGCGTTCTGCATATCTAATGCCATGCATAGAGACAATAATGCATGTATCGCTTTATTTCATACATATGTATGTGTGGCTGCATAATGTTATCTTATTTACGTGTTATAAAAACGAGAGCTAAGACATTTACAATTTGCATATAGTAAGAGTTTGTCACCGCCGTTGATAAAAGCGCTAATGAGGAATAAATATCTAGCAAATTTTATCGCATATTACAAGTATTAGTCATTATTGCTTTTACCAAGCGATGCAGTGAAGTTTTCAAATATGCAAATTATAGTAGTGGGAACTTAAGCTGGGTTCATGTACCACAATACGCGTGGCGTATATATATCAACTATAATCGAAAATGTTAAGGTTAAATAAATAATTGTTGTAATTAAAAATTTCAGAAATATCGCTGAAGAGTATTTATTTAATATGAACTTCTTAATTGACTCGTTGAGAATGTCTCTCATATGGAGTTAACAAAAAAAGGCTCTTGATTGAGCTCAAAGCAGATCATTTACCTTCCTTAATTAGAGTATTATCCATTTGTATCGCTCTATCTGTTGGACTTCAGTACCAAGAACACCCACCTGGACAGTTCTCGCTTAGTTAAGTATGGCTTTGTTTTATTTTGGTTTTCATGGAGAGACAAAACAAGATAAATAAATAAACGTTTCCTGCATCTAAGCATATTCTATGGAAGTTTCGCACCCTGATCACTTAAGGAGGTTTTCTAGGCTAGAAGTCTGAAACAAAACGAAAAATTTCTCTCTTCATATTGTTTTAGTTAAGGTATTCAAAAGTATCTCCTTAAAAGATTTTTAAAAAATTTTAAAAATTAAAAAAGCCGTAAATGCTAATAAATGAGTGAACAAATCGATCTTTTGTTTTGATTTTTTAGTTTTATTGCTTCATACGATAATAAAAAGAATCTTCATTAACATATCAATTTGTCTGAGTTTTTTTTAATTGTAAGATAAACCTTTTTACAATTTTAAAGTCAATTTCCTAATATATTAAGATATTTAATATATTTTTATTTATTTTAAATTATTTTTATACAAAATCTTTACTAAAATCATAACAGAAAATTAAATGATGAAACTGATGCAATGTTTGGGTTTGGTATTAATAAAGTTATTTATGACAATGGACGAAAGCGCAAAAGAGTTGCTTGCAATACTTTAAGCGTCTTTAAAAAGGCAGAAATATATATGAAGAAAGCGTTTGGTGTAGAAAATTCGTATATTAAAATATTTTCAAACTTTTAAAAATACTAAAGCTATACAAATTACCCAGATATGTACATGTAGTAATTTATCAAGCCAAATTAATTCAAAGTAAATTTTTTTTTTGTTCTTTAAGTATTAATTAATTTTTGTGTATCTTCACAGGATAATATTTCATAAGAAATTTATTATTTCCCTTCTAAAGAAAATTTATATATTGAACAATATTTTTTATTTATTTTATTATCATTTTGTTTTTATATATTATTGAAGAAATTTTATATTGCATAGTAAGCTGCAAAATGTTGCGCTACATGGCGTATAAGTAATGCTCGTTAAAAATGTTAAAAAGTTTGCAACCCTTGTACGCTACTACCTCTCACCCGCTACTAAAAAAGTAAAATATATGCAAAATAATTAATAAATTTTATCGTCATATTTTTCACGCCAGTAGCATTTTATTAAAATTTATTTGTTTTGTACGTTGCAATCTAATAATTTTATCTCATCACATTTCCTTACAGTGGCAGCTGAAAACTAAAATACAAAAAATATAAATAAAACATTTTGCACTTGCACACCTGCGCGTGGCCACTTCCGTCTTGCGACAAACACGCTATTGAAATACACAGATAAATTGCATTGCACACGCTTAAATACAGACATAAAACGTACATACACAAACACAGTGATGACCTGGTTTAGTGGCGTAACTGCGTCGTATGACAGCAACTTCCGGTGTAAACGGATGTTACACGGCTATTTGTTTTTGGCATGTGCTTTACTGCTGATTGCGGTGCCGGTGAACGCACGTCCCAAGGAGACGACAAGCGATGTTATCATACCGTTGGACGATGCTGGGCTGGCGTTGAGCGAGGAATATGGCGATGTGGATAATATTGAGGTGGGTGTATAATACAAATGTGTGATTTCACTGTACTGGGTATATTAATATATAACTATATACTACCGTTCGTATGTATATAACACTATTAAATGATATTAATCAACATTTATTATAGTTTTTATTTAAATTGAGTTTTCTTGTCTGTTCCTTCAGTTTCACCATGCTAAAATCGTAGATGGCGTACTGCACGAAGATCACCCAGTTATAATGTATAAAGAGGATTTCGTTAGCGAAGATTTTGGTAAATTATTGTTGCTTATTAAAATATATAAAAAAAAATAATTATTTTCCACATTTCACCTCCTAAACAGTGCCGAAAAAGAACAATACACATCGTCTGCGCAAACATAAAGATCCGGCGCATCGTCGCCGTCGCATCAACGATCAATCTAACTCGGAGCAATACCATCCGCTGCAGCCTGAGAAAATATATTTCGATATTTTATCCTCAGCTCCGATTGTTACCTCCGATGAGTCAAAGTCTGCCAATTCGAAAGCACATGTAGAAGTCATTTCTCTAGCCGATGCTGATGCAAAGCTAGTGGATGGCGAAGATGAGGCTAAGCGCGTGCTCAATAAGCGTCCCAAGAAATTCCAACATCGTCGTCAACGCCGTGATACGGACAGAATTTGGCATCGGGAACATCTTCTGCAGAAACGTCACCAAAATCCATATTATCGCATATATGGTGCAAATTCCGTCAGTTCATACCCACAAACACCCAATTACTATTTACCGAGCCACGAACCGGTGAAGCGTTATCAAAAGTAACTATATTTGAATTTACAGCAAGAAGGTCTGATAATAATGTTCTTTGTTTGCTCAGACAACCTGTTGCTGGTGACTTCTATAACGGCCCTGTTAGTACGCTACCCAAAATTAGGGTAAATACGCGTTTCGGCGGCGAAGATAATACAGATCGCGTAATTTGGCGCGATTATACACCAACCAGAAATCGTAAGTACTAAATGTCACATACAATAACAACAACAATGCAATGACTGCTAACTAAACATTTGCAGCCAATAAACGCTTGAATATCACAGTGGGCACACCTAAACCACTGTTTTCGCGGCGCACAGAATCACCACTTTCCGCTGTACGTAAGTATCCAATTAAAGTAATCGAAACTTTTGCTTACAGTAATAATTTCTGCTTTTGAAAAAAATTTAGCCCCAAGAGACGAGGCAGGAGCAGCAAGTGATTCAGGGCCTATTCGTAGTCCCGTCATAACGGAAGCGCCAGTCTTTCAATTGCCTACACGCCCGCCACCACCGACACCGACAACAGCATCCTCTTCCACCGCCTGTGTGTGGGCTATAGCCAGTTGTTGCGCACCCAACGACTCCGCTGTGCGGTACGGCTGCTTCCAACGCTATGGTTGTAATTTGGTCTTTTGGAATTTGAATCCTTGTGCGGATAATATACGCGATAATGTCATCGACTATCTGAGTAAACAATTCGATTAGAACGAAGCATGTCACACGTAAAGCCGATGCTAGTATTTAAAATTGTCACAAAGCATTTATTAACCATAGCTTAGTTTGTAAGTTTAAGTTATTGTATGCTGTTTTTCTTTTGTTTTTACTTTTTAATATACCGTTTTTACTGACGCTGTAATTTATAGAAAAAAAATGTATTTTTTTTAATAGTGCTACCCAATTATGCATTAATTTATGCGACAACATACTTACAGAGATTCATAACTTTTTCTGTTTGATTGTTTTCTATTAAGATACGAAGCAATGGAATATAAGAAATAATAAAAATAATAATTTTATTTGAGTGTCTCAAAGTGCAAAACTAAGCAATTTTATTTCAAAATGGTAATTTGTATAATCAAAACGAGGTGTGAGGATTTTCAATTCGTAATTTCAATGCAAGCATAGTTTAAAAGCTTGGGCTGTAATGCCCTTTGGCTGATCGCAAGAGCGCTCCACAAATAAAAAACCTGTATGTAGTTTTATTGATTCTTCATATCTTCACATCTGCTCTTTTCCTCGGCTATTTATGATGGAAAAGTGAATTCTTGTTTTGATAAAGCACTGTTTTCGGATGGGAAAAACTTTGATGATGCAAAGCAATGGCTCGATAAATGTCGGCAAATCTAGCCTAGATATTCAACGGCTAAGTGCTGCCAATCATACCAACACAAATTATGCACCACGTTAAGGGAGGTCACAGGTGTAGTTAATTATGTAAAGTTATATACAAAATAGACGAAATCTAGCACTAGAATACACATAACATATATGAGGACCTCAATCCGGGTTCGATAAATGAGGTCAGACGGATATGTATTAATCGACTCAGCACGTCACGCTTGAATATAAAATATTTTATAGGACATTTCCACATTTTCCTACATTTCGTAGCAAACTTAATATGTCTTGTAAAGAGTAATAAAATAGATAAAACATGAATGTATCTTCTTTGTAATAGTAGAACTGCCACACTTGAGCTTAATAAAATGTTAGCTTCATAAAAGTTAAATATAGTTATTACAGGCACTTTTATGCCTAGAATTGGAAATGTATGCACTTGAAAATTTTTTTATTTTTAAATATAATATAACATACATATTCCGTCTTTACAGATATGCATATGATATACAGTTTCCCACCCTGACCTCTTTAACTGAGAGCCTCTTTTGCGACAATACCTCTATAAGCGACAATTTTCCTATGTATGACTCATTCTTTTTTTTCAGGAATCAGGAACTATGTTGTTTTCTTGTAATTCAAAGAAATCATATTTAACTGTATTAACTTATTTGTTATGCTCACTGCAGTTCATAAATATCATTTGCAACGAACAGTACAGCTCTTACAACAACTTATTATGTCTACGCGAGAAACCTCTTAACCAGGTTTGACTGTATATTAAAATGTATATATGTATATACGCTTCAGAAATTATGAATAAGCGAGCACTTACGAGCGCACGAAATGCGCGTTAGATAACATAATTATTATCGGTCAAAATGGAAATATGCCTCTTGCTACATTACGGCCAGCACTCATGGGGGCTCTGCTTAAGTTTATACAAGTATACTAAACTGCAATGAGCTTATCGCTTTTCCATATTAAACCGCTTGTAACTAGCTCTTATTGCTTGTTTGGGGTGCAGCTTATGCAACCGCGAAACGTTGTACCGTCCACTCATTACGCTTCGGGCTAAGAACACTCATTAGTTTGGTGTTAGGCTGGCCTAGGCGCGAGTAGTTCAGGTGATGCCAATTAAGCGTTGGTCATGCTCTAAATTAAGCCCACCACAGCAAATACCTAAGCCGACAGTTTGCTGAGTATGATACCGTAGGGTATTTTGTTAATAGTCTTAATTGTTTTTTGACTTTAAAATGTAAAATTTTTGTTAATATAGGTATATAATATTCCACACTTTGTATGTAAGGACTGTCACCGACTTCGAATCATTTTTGTCGTACAATAGCTCGGTTTCAGTTCATGACAAAACTAATGCTGTTCATTCGAATATATATTTTATGTTCGAAAAATTTAAGAGGAGATTCGTGATGGAATATGACAGTGAACAAGTTTTACATTTTTTCATAAACACTTTACTATATATATTTTTGTATAAGTATAAGCCTTTATCCGAGGTTTTGATTATTCACAGGGTGTAATCGTATATCTAACAATGCGACGAATATTTGAAAACGAGGTATATTTATTTCTCGCAGTGAAATATTTTATTATATATATAGCTCTTGCTAAGAAATTATTTCAAAGTTCAGCATAGTCTACACGAGCAGTTCATTGGAAATCTTAAAGAAATACTCATATATATATATATAAACTAATCTGAAAATAATTACAATAAACCGATCTTTTAATTACATAAATTAATATGGTTAGACCTCAACACCATCTAAGCTTTCACTTCGTTTCAACATCTAACTGTTTTATAATTTTTTTTACACTTCTATACAGCATTTCTACAGCGAAGTATTATTTTTTGACTCATCAGGCAACACATATCACTTAGGTATTGCATTCAACTATTTAGAAACGCTTTTGTGATAAGCAGCTGTTCTAAATATATTCTACTGAGTAATGTGAGAAATATTTTTCATCTTGTTGAAGTCATAGGAAAGCTTTTTGTTGGAATCTTTCACGCATTTCTTGATGAACATAGGAAACAGAAATTATTACTACTTGCAGTTGTTTTCATTTTTGTTTACATGGTAATTACTTATCACTACATGTAAGTAAGGCTACATTTCATTTATTTTTTTTACAAGAGCGAACTGGTAAAGCTGGGTCCGTGAATGAAGAAGTCGCAAATCTACATACACAAAGTTTACGGGGTAGAGATATTGAGAAGTAAAGAACCAATTTCATGTGCTACTTAACTATTATATAAGAGTATTGATATAGAAACGTAGACTATAACTATTTTGAAGTGTTTCGCGTTTCTAATTTCACTCTTGCTTCGAAGAGCGACGCATTTTGTTAGTTAAAATAATGACACTTACGACTATAACATCGGTTATCCTGTTCTTTACAGCAACTTATCCTAAACACACAGACTCTTCTTACTTATCGTTTTACTCTGATCTTGGGCCCTTTTAATATCATTGCACACCTTTCACAATTTAAAGGAATTCGTCATTATATCTTATTGTTTGCCATAAGGGACTTATTATCTCTATCCTTCCACAAGAGAGGGCTTTGTTGATTACCAGTAACCCACACCATGTAAAACAATTTTTTGACGCACATAAGGCAGTCGCTATTGATACACTTTGTCACCCATTATATTAATAGTTTTCGACATACAGTTTGACCTCAGAGAAATTAAAAATTACGTGCGTATGTGTGTTAAATAAATAACGATAATTCTCGTTTCTTGAAAATAAATATTTATTCATTCGTCTACATTAGTCGCCTTTAAAATAGTCGCAATTCCCGTTATTTTCTGAACACATCTCGGGTACTCATTATCAAACTGTTTCCTTTCACTCTTCTGAAGAGCCGCGTCGCTTAAAAAAGGTGATTTTTGGCGTTTTTTTTAAATATTTTAAAAATTTCAGGCTATATTTATTCAAAATTAATATACACAAAGCATTTCAAAAAAAAACGTTATATTTAATTTTTAGCGAGGGATAAGCGACTAGATCTCAAGATTTTAAACAAAGCTCTTAAGCTAAAAAATAAAATAAAAAAATTATAAAACTGTAGATATTTATTGCTAAAATCTACATTTGTTCCAAAAAATATTAATTAAACAATGTGGCACATTTTCAAGAAATCTGATTTTTCTAAGAAACGAGATGACTTCTGACGCGCCAAAATAACTATTTTCCTACCATGAAAAAGCTGAAACGGAAAAATACATATATACTAAATAAGCAGAAAAAATCAAAGCAATCGTGATTTGTTTTTTTGAGAAACACGTGCTTAAAAGTAAACTGATTAGAGCTATAGACTAACGAAATATGCAAAAACCCAAAAAAAAAGAGTTTTTCGAATTTGCACACCAGGTTTGCCTCTTAATCCCACTAGTTGATTAATATTCGCGTACATTCATCTATATTCGTGCATGTGTACCGTAACATACTCATTTCGAATAAATGCACTCAGATACCTGTTGCCGTCATACACAAACAACACAAACAACACAACAGCACATTTCGACATTACACTTTTTTCCAATTTGCATACCACAATGAAACATTTGTTTACAGTTATTTTTTCAAACTTACCGCTACCACCATCGTAGGACTTTATGGTGGAACCGCTGGTGTTCGACCTCTTAATTTCGCGTCGACCCATTTTGTTTGCTGGTGGCGTAGCTAAAGCGACTTCTACACCCCCTTCGTTTAGCACTGACTGCGGGCTTAGTTGCTCTTCGGCTTCGCTGCTAAAATCGGCACGCGATTGCGTTGAGAAGTGTGGGTAATGTTGGCGCGACTGTTGTGCTATTTGATGTTGCGACTGTTGATGTGTGTTGGCTTTGTTGGAATGGTGATGGTGTTGGTGCTGGTGTAAATGCGGTTGGTAATAGTGTGAGTGATGTTGTGGTTGGTAGAAATGTTTGGGTGAGTTAGTGGCGGATGTGAGGGCAGGGGTGCTTGTGGTGGATGCGGCTAAAGCTACGGCTGTTGTTGTCGCCAGCGATGGTGTAGAACCGGTTGCTAGTAGCGCGAGATTCGGTGGAAATTCAAAATATTTCACCTGCAATGAATTGCCCGGTGAACTGCCCTTTCTGGTCGCTGTTGGTGTGCCTAATGCTTCTATCGTATGTGTTGTTGTTGCTGTTGCTGTTGTTGTTGTGTTGCTACCTTTCGCTTTGTGTTGGTTAGTGTGATTATTGCATGTGGCTGTGCCGACTGTGCTGTGGCTATTGGTTGTTGTTGTACTGTTGTGGTTGTTGTTGCTGGTGGTGGTGTTGGTGCAATGGCTGCCGGCGCTGTGCGGTGTGGGTGGTGGGGGTGGACAAGCGTTGATGCTACCGCTGCTGCTGCTGGTAAATGATGGCTTGCGCAGTGATAACGGTCTCAACCCTTTAGCAGGGTAAAGCGGGTACTATCGGCCAGCAATACGAACCCAATCGCGATGGTCACTGTTATACCAGACGCCTGTAATTACAATTAAGAAAAACAAAAACAATAGCTATAATTAGAGCATGCTAAATTATTCTATAATTGGATTCGTTGTGATGGGCGCGATAAACAGTGGGTCCATTTACAAAAATGTAATGCGAACAGGATTTGTATTTTGAATTTTGTTTTTAATTTTATTGGAAAATAAGCTACATTTATTTGGAATGAATTGGGTTGGGACTGCAACAAATATTGTAATCATTACAAACAGACTTTGAACTTAATGATCACAAAAATTTATAATTTAGTTATTGTAATGAATAACAAAGTGGAGTCCTCTTTTGTAATGATGACAAAACATTTAAATAATTTTTGTAATGATTACTAAAGGTGAGGATCTTTTTTTTGTCATGAAGACTAAAATTTATAACCTTTTTTGTAATGATTACAAAAGTTTGGAATCTTTTTTATATTGATTACAAAAAAAAAATAAGAATAGTTTTGGTAAGTTAGAGTTCTTTTTTGTAAGAATTACAAAATGTTTAGGGTATGCTTTTTGGAATGATTACAAAAGTCAGCTTACAAACTTTTTTTTATTGATTACAAGATATTAGAATAATTTCTGTCATGTCTTAAGTAGTGTAGAGTTTTTTTGTAATAATTATCTTAAATCTTTTTTTTACTAATTACAACTCTTTAGAATCTTTTCTTGTTGTATGTGAAAAGGTTTAAGTTGCTTTTTCATAACTATACCCTCAACATAGAGTTGAAATGTTTTTCTTTATTTTTTTGCTTTAGTATTGCGAAAATGTTATAAAATTTTTCTTTCTAATCGAACAGTTGCAGATGAATTTATCTCAGTAGGGTATTTATAATTTATTAATTTTATTTGTGATTACTGATTTCTCGTGATTGTTTTAGTTTATTGTTTATTATAGCGAAAAAAGTGAAAGTAACTTTTAATTTTTAAGATTAATACATTAGAACAGCCTGTATTTGCTCATAGCTAACTACTGCACTATACATCCATTAAAATTGACTATGAATACAATATATTGAAAAAGCATGCGATAATCGCATAGTTTAACACACATCTGTATCAATAAATTTTATTTGCATAACTTTAGGCGTCTATCAAATACAATTACCGAACATCGACGTGCCCAGATTTGCACAACACAAATCCATTAAAATATCTAAACATTATGCCGTTATAGTTTATTTCAATATAAATTAGCATCAACAAGTGCTTTTATGGTTGAAGAAATTTATTTAGAATATTTATTGTTGCTTAGCAATGATTTTGCGGCATTTGAGTGTTGTTAATTGCAGTAAATAAATATGTTGATTTTATGCGCTAAATTATTGAAAATAAAATATTAATAGAGATGCATATGTTGTTATAAAAATTCACAGAAATTAGCTTTGATGTTAGAATTTTGCAGAATTTATAATGAATTTAGTTTAAAAGCATTCATATGCTTTTTATTCGTCAAAACCCCTTAAGTAAAAAACGGCTTAGCTTTGACACTTCATTCTGAGAATATAACAAAAGGAGTAAAGTTTCTCTCATTCAGGCCTTATAACATGTGATACGCTAAAATGTATAAAAAAAGGATTACTACTGGACCAATCTTAACTACTTAATCCAATTTTATGGCGAATGTACTTAAACCGCACTAATTTCTTAGTCGCGTGCAAAATATTGGCGAAAGACTTTAAAAGAAACATTGTTATAATAATGTTAAAAGAACAGTTCTGACTAGACTTAGCTTAGCTGGCTGCAAACGGATGTCTAAATTAAAATACTACTTCCAAATATTTTTTAGACTATGATGGCATTCAAGCTCTTTGATATAACATTTTCACTTGCGTCATCCCACTAAATTTTAAAAAATCTTTGTGTCGCACAGATTAATTTTAATTTTAATTCTAATATTAATTTTAATGTCAATTTTAATTTTAATTTTTACTTTAATTTTAATTTTAATTTTTATTTTAATATTAATATTAATTTTATTTTTAATTTTTATTTTGATATAATTATAAATTCGATATTAACTTTAATTTGTATTTTAAGTTTAGTTTTAATTTTAAATTTAATTTTAAGTTTTATTTAATTTTAATTTTAATTATATTTATTTAATTATATTTTGATCTATTTTTTTATTGTTTTCTTTCAATTTTGGTTTTTATCCTTCATATTTTCTTTTGTCCAATTTTACATCCCTAAGTGGTTAATTTGACAACACATGGCAAATAAAGGCAACCCGTTAACCCAATACATACAAATGAATATCCACACTGGCATTAGCTGCAGTCACTCAATCATTTAATACTTCAGTCGTTCATCCGTTTCCTCGGCGCTTTCCACTGAATTAATGGCAAGTCGTACATAAAAGTCATGATCTTTTTGCCACTCTCTACTCTCCTAGAGCACAACGGCTTTTACATTTCAATCGATTTCGAATTGAATTACCATCATATGACACCAGTCCAACAAGCACTACACACACACACATATAAGCCAAAAGTACATGCAACAGACAGAGGCAGACATGACCGTGGCTGCTACAAAGGACATTAACAATGGAAGCGACAGATGAAGGATTAATGTATTGCACCACGAGCGACCGCTTTTTTACTCCGCAAAAAAGAACGGAAAAGAAATAAATCGAAATAAAAAATACACACAAACTAGGAAGGACAAAAAAACAAAATTTGGTTGCAAAGCGAACAGGGCCAGGATTTGCTGGCCGAATGAAAAATGCTGGAAGGAAACAATTTTTCACCAGCCCTGTCGATTTCATTTTGCTTTATCGTTTTTGTGCATTTTTTCTTCATTTCCTTGCTGTTGCCTTGCGGAATTAATAAATTCATTTGCATTGTTTAACCGGAAGGGACAGCACGCACAGCAGAAAATACAGAAAAAAGAGCGAAACAAAATGCTGAATAAGGCAGAGCATTCGCCAAGCCACAGGCCGACCACCAGCGAGCGGATATTGGATTCTTTATCAGCGCTCGGGGATTGTCTAAGCGACCCAAGGAGAGCGACTTGTTGCCAAGAAAACACACACCCGTCGTGCTTCGCTGTATGTGTTGCTCATGTGCAACAACTACTTATCAGAGTCATATACATATGTGTGTGTTTCAATTCCTTTGTCGGCTAGCTGATTTTTGGTGCTCAGCAGGCAGCTATTGTGTTAGTCCGCTGTGTATTGCGTAGATTTCTGTGTTACAATTGCCTTGTACATTACTTCACCTACACGCCAGGGACTAACTGCTCAACCATATTTTCTTGATGCAGTATTGCTGCTTCCATGGTTTGCTTTCTATGTATATATGCCTGTATCCTCAATATTTGTGTCAATGCATTTCTTGACGATGCAGCCATGCACCTATGCGTAGGCGATATGCAGTTTATATCCACATACATAAATATCGATATACATATGTTCATACTACTGTCACCTCTATTGCCCTCCAACAAGTTCTACCTTCATCGTACTCACTATAAGTACGAACACACTAACAGGTAGTAATACCCAATCATTCTCAATCAAACTCAACACACTGTCGCTCCTTAAGCAAACAAACACTTACATGTATTGGTATTATTACACAATACATACACATACCTGCTAAAATATCGAACCCATTCAACTACAGTTTCATATTCAGTACCATATTGTTGCATGACAATTTCGCAAATATTAAAATTTAAACGGCGCAGCGCCTGAAAGCAGGCAATCCGTATCATTGTATATCGATATGTTAACAGAAGTATGTGCATGTACTTGCCGCAACAAGTATTTATGGTGTAAAAGGTGTGGCGGTGCCTCAACACATTTACATACATACATAACTCCTTAACACAAGCACACGAGTTATTACAGGTGTATGTGTGTGTGTTGTCATTGTGGATAATGAAGTTGTTGTAATAACTTATTCAAATAGTTTTTGTGGTACTGAAGCTCAATTTGCTTTTCAATTAAAGTTTGGCGTGGCGAAAAAGCAAAAAAGGAGGAAAAATAACAACTTAACGATTTGTATATTCAGCGCCATTACCCAGCGGTCGTCCGTCGCCTGGCCTGCCGTCCAATATAGTGATGGATGAAAGTTTGTATAATGAGTTAAGTTTATTGATGATTGATTGCTGTAGCAAGATTCTGCCTGCGAAATGTAAATATGTCTACACTTATACACAGACATTTCGACAGGTAGGAATATTTAAATAGATCTTGAGTTGCAGTTGGCTAATGTGATCATTCACTCGGAATGAAGTTGCCAATGATATTCGATGCTGTTGAAGAACGATTTTCAATAATTTATTTTCTGCTTAAATTTTTCGATCTTTTTGGGAAAATGTGTAGAAAAGTTTGTAATAAAATATAACAAGTTATGAAGGCTAACTTCGGTGTAACTGAGTATTTTACACTCTGACAATTTTCAAAGGCCACAGACGGGACTAATGTACAGTTGTTAACAAAACTTTATAAGAAAAAGTGTTGCGAAAGAATTCAATGACGTTATGTGTGGGTCACAATCATATTTGGTGTCTAACTTATACTGTCAAAGTAAATAAAAGAACATAAATCTCTAAATTCATCTTATTAATGTTGGGGAAGGTAGATACCATTTTACATATAAAAGGGGAAAAGTACCAAAGTAGTAAAGGTGTGAATGCCTTTAAATGGTGGTTTGGGTTTGGACCGTTTTCATTCATATTCAGTTAAAAGTTAAGAAAACCCTTAATTCCATTAAAATCTCGCATAAGCCTAAACAAAATTTTTAAATTCAGTTAAAAAGTCGGAAATCTCTATATTTGGTCTATGGGGGCTAGAAAAAATATTGAGCCGATTATAACCATTTGTAGCACAAGGACAGATATTTATCATAAACACACGCTCTCTGCACTTTATTAAGATAACTAACATATTGGTCGTTACCATATAATAAAGTAAATGAGAGTTCGAAAATTTTAAATTAGGTCTATGGAGCTATTGATCCGATCTTACACATTTTTGACACAAGGG